GGAAGCTACAACTAGCAAACATTGTTACTACTAGTAAGGCACCTGTTACTACTAGCGTGGCACTTGTTACTACTAGCTTCTTTATTTGAACTATAGTCTATAATTAATAAAGGCTAGTAGCTTCGGAGCAAGGAAGCTACAAGACCAAAATGTTGCTAGAATGCGAAACCCTATGTCATCACACGCGGCCCATCCAATGCCTTGTGGAATTTGCACATGAAGTTTCCACGTTGAGTTTTCCTAAAAGTCTAGGAACCAAATCATTAGTGCAATGTTCGCTACTAGGAGCAAAGGGCATCGCTACTAGGAGCAAGGAAGCTACTAGGGGCTCCTGGCCTTACTACTAGGAGCAATGTTCGCTACTAGGAACCAAATCATCAGTGCAAGCGCTTCTTCAAAGGGCGGCGGGGGGAGCTTCCTTGAAGCGTGAATTATCCTGTGTCCATATGTAGTAGTGTCCTAGTAGCTAGGAGCGAACAGGTTTGCCCTCAATTAAGTAGGCGCCTACTTAATTAAGTAAGGCAGTAAGGGTGGCCTAAAGATTATATAAGAAACTGAATTAAACATAAACACTAGACTTAAATACAGACAATAAATAATTAACACTATTTTAAGACTATGTTGTTTGTAAGCGCACGCTCACCCGCAGAGCTGATAGCACAGCGGTACTCAGGTGGATCTGGCATGTGGTTTCTTTAACTTTTTACGAAGACCTCCAATGCAAAAGCTGAAAGGTTTACAAGAAGCAACAAGGTTTGGGCTTGGGGTCAAACAAACGAATCGTGCGCCTTTACATAGCAGGATAAATTAAACATATTCTTTATAGTAGTTTTATAATGTTCAATTTTTCTTAGGGCGCTGGAACCAAGTTGGACGAATACACACGGCATGGGATTGGCAACAGCACCCACAAGAGCACCTGCGACCCGTGCCAGTCAACTCAAGTGCATCAAGTCCCAACTCATTCTTCGTCATTTGGGTTCGCTCTTGGACGTTAGGTTCTTAGGGGGGGGTAGAGGACGCTACTAGGAGCAAAGGGCATCGCTACTAGGAGCATTCTTAC